CGAAATAATTCCTACCTTTGATAATAACATACGAAAATATATTGAGGGCCTCCACCAGCCTGCTTGGCAGCCACTTCAGGCGGTTCTTGGACACGTCCAGAGTGCTCAGGCGCCCCTGGGAGGAGGGCGTGGACCACCGCTCCTCCCATGCCGCCGCCGGCACGGACACCTCCTCCAGCCGGCAGCTCGAGATGTTGAGGTGGGTCAGCCCTCGGATTAGGTCTGGGCGGGGAAACGGAGATGGGTGTCTGTGTGTGCATGGATGCACAAACGCACATAACTGGACGCATACAGTCACATGCACAGGCACATGGACCAATGTAGTGCGTATGGTACATATTGCCCTATCACCCTAGAGAAAGGGGACGGGGTCTTCTTATTTCATAAATGTGCCAGTCAGCATTTTCATTCAAATAAAATACGTGTTTTACCCAACATGAACATTTCTTCAAAAAGAAACTTACTTTCAGGAAGTGTTATTTTCTTAAATTCATTATTCGATAAATCGAGGTGTTTCAGCTCCTGTAAAAGAGCAGGTAATATGCATCACACCAGATTCCAAGGAACGTGTCATCACAAGCAATAAAAATTAAATTGGTAAGTCAGCACACAAGTACAATTTAATACTGATGCTATGAGGGGCCTAACAAAACATGAAGAGCTTAAAGACACTTTACCTCTCCCTACGGATGAAAATATTGACATTATATTTTTTTCACTTGGAGGAATATATGTTTTAGAACATTATAAGCCTACCGGGTTTTTGTTGAAGGCTTCCTCCGGGAGGTAAGGAAGACCGGAAGAGGAAATGTCAAGATGCTGGAGAAGAGGAAGACGCGCCAACAGTGGCGGCAATTCTGCAAAAAGGCACTGCGGATATTAGCCATGTTTTTTTATGATCACACACATTCTGCGTATATATTTCTTGATTTTCATTATTTGGGGACAAATTGATCAGTATGAAATGCCTTAGGCCCATACTTTTAAAACCTTTCGCCAGTGCTGGCGAAAGGCTTCGCCGGGCGATCGGGAACTTCGTACTACTAAATTCATGCCTGCCGAACGTTCGCCAGGGCTGGCGAAAGATCGTATTGGAACAGCCTGGCGAAGTAAAGTCGCGAGAGCTGTTTGAATACCATTTTCTTGCTTTCAAATTATAAATTAGTAACATATTTGTGTATGATATGATGTAGGAATCACATTGAAATTCTAAAATATCTTAAAATCATAATTTATTATGAAATAACGTATATAGGTAGTTTTTTTCAAGACCTTCCATGTTCCAGTCGAGAGCTCAAGACATCAGCTGTATTCCTACCCCCTACCCCCCCCCCCCCACCCCGAGATGACTTATTTAGATTTAAGTTGTTATTTTGGTTGTAGGGATAATGTTCTTTTCACAGATGTTACCAAAAGTGTTTTGATGTTGGCATGTTAACTTTTGGCTATAGAAACATAGCTGTAGTGCTCTACCGCCCTATAATGAGGCGTCTAATGATACCCTTGTAGGCCTACAGTTAAATTTCTTATATCAGTTAGGAATAGTAAAATAGTAATTTTTTAACTCTTTTGTTAAAGTATAAAGTTATTTTTTGTATAATAGTATAAAGTTCATACAGTATAGTATAAAGTACTTTTAAAACCTTTCGCCAATGATGGCGTTCGCCTGGCGAACATCTGAGTGAGGGAGGCCTTACTTTTAAACCCAAGGCAGGTGTTCGCCAGGCCTGGCGAACGAAAGGGATCGCCAGGCGCTAACATCTTGGATTCCTGCTAAATCTAGCGCTTCGGCGAATGAAAAAAACGCGGGAAACACAAATTTGTTACATCTGCAGTAAATATATATTGTTGGGATTTTTTATCATATTACCTTACCTTACCTTACTTATATCATATCATTTATTACCTTACCTAACATAATCTAAGCTTAATAATTAACCTCGGGAGAAGACGATAATGTTATATCTGTAATAGCCTCACTTTATACAAAGGAGTTAAAAAATTAATAATTTTACTATACCTAACCGATATAAAATAGTTAACTGTTGGGATACAAGGGTTAGGTTAGGTTAGACACGCCTTTGCTTCGCCAGGCTGTTCCAATACGATCGTTCGCCAGCCTTGGCGAAAGTTAGCCTGGCGAACTTTTAATAGTACGAAATTCCCGATCGCCCGGCGAAACCTTTCGCCAGAACTAGCAAAAGGTTTTAAAAGTACGGGCCATAAAGTTAACCTTGTTATAGTATAAAGTGTAGTATAGCATAAAGTATAATTATTTTCAATTTCTTTGTTATAGCATAAAGTTAAATTTTAACTCCTTTGTTATAGTATAAAGTGAGACTATTACGGAAACAACATTTTCGGCTTCTCTCGAGGTGAACAATTAAGTTTAGGTTATGTTATGTGCACTGCAGATGTAAGCAAATTTGCGCTAAATTTAGAGGGAATGCAAGATGTTAGCGCCTGGCGATCCCTTCGCCCGCCCTGGCGAACGTTGGGT